TGTCTACTCATCCTTCTGATCGAACACCATCTTCAGCCCAATTGCTAGGCTGTTGGGATGAGAGCTGGAGAGGCAGCTACTGCAGTTGCCGAATGCAGGAGGGCCAAAAATGTGCATCAAAGTCTGGCAAGTTTTATGAGAAGTTGGAACATGTGTTTCCCGTTTGAAAACATCAGATTAAGCTTACGCATTCCCCCCACGTCTTCTTCACAGCCGTGCGGCCTCCTCATTGAAAAGCAAAGTCCCTTCACCCAAATGCGGTCCGGGATACAGGTTGCGCTGTGAGTCGTCGATGGAGGCCCTGGGAATTCGTGTGGTGGTGCTGTTGGGTATTGTAGAGCTTCGAGTCTTTGCGTTCGAGGACTTGCTTGGCTCCTTCTGGAGGTCGCTCAGCTCGCATGGACTGCATGCATTCGTGGACATGCAAGGCCACTTGAGATAATCCGAGGTGTGACCCACTTACGCTCTCGAAGCAAGGACAGGACTTACCATCCAGCGGTGTTGTTGCAACTGCACAATTCAACAAGAAAGCGTTGGAACGTAGTGCATGTTCTGTAGCGCCGACCCACAGTTTGATCCAGCACCCATGCGGAAGTGCTGCCGGCGAGCAAAGTCTCGTCTATCGCATTGGCGCGGACTTCGGCATTCTCCTCTCTCCGAATCGCGAACTTGACGCGATGAACCTGGGTTATTGGTTTTGCGAATCTCTGACCTGCACTTCCATTCAAAGCCCAGTGCAGAAAGTCAAATGGCATCGTACAGCCAACCTCTCCTTACACTTAGTTGAGGTGGGTGTTTGGAATGCAGGGACCGGAGTGTTTTTTGAAGTGAGGTGCTTTCGCCACAGCTTCCACAGCATGCAACTGTTGCTGCTTCCTCTTAGTGTCGTTATGCCACTGCAGCAGGTCCATAGCAGGAACATTCAACTATCAATGGAACGACCAGCACCGTAGCAGTCGTCTCTGGCCTATGTGTGGGTCTATGCAATGACTGCATTGTGTTCCGGGTGTAGCGTGCAATGTTTCGTGCTGTCTGAGCCCCATACTCGGCTCTGGAGATCATCCAGCGCAAAGCCTGTCAGCAGCAGCTCTAAAGAGGTCCAATGCCGGAATGAGCCCGCAGAGTCATAGAAGTTACGTGTTAAACGGCACCGAGTACTGCACAACTGAGTGTGCCCAACGCATCCATGCACTGTCAGAAGTACAACATTTCTGACACACAGAGAGATGCTGCAGCATCTGCAGCTCAAAAGGGCTCATGGTGGGAAACCTTCGGCAGGAATGCTGTACCTACCCACCGTCCATGGCAACAAGCGTCAAGCCATGTCAAACCTATGTGTATACGCAGGCATTTCGTTTTGTTGAAAGCTGTTTGAACTGCTTTGGAATGTTGGCTTCATTTTCCGCACCTTGCTTCCCTTACACCAGCATCTGAAGTAAAACATGCTCGGTGGCTTGCTGCGGAATCAAACCGCGCTGCTCTAGTTTATATAGGCCCTTGCCACACTTGCAGATTTCCTTGCGTGTCCATGCGGTGTGTCCGTTGTGCAGCCGAACTACAAAAATCCTTGTTTTCCTCGCCTAGGGGTTGAGGGCAAGTTTGCGTAAGGCTGGATTCCTTGCCGGCCTTGGATGAACTCGCCGATCATGTCTGTCAACTTGCCTTGGCGCGAAGACCCTCAACAACTGCTCCAACACCCTGTGAGCTTTAATGTTGATGCTTTCCTCACGGCACGATACCGTGTAAAGGGTGAACATTGCTAGCTGCATCGTTGCCATTCATCACGATCTATTCACCTTGTACATCTTTATTTGTGTTGCGTCACATGGTAATTGTCGGCTCTGCGAGACCTTTCAAAACCAAGCCAAGCATAGCAAAGCGGCTGTACTTGTTCAGCTTGTTGGTCACCTTACCTTTCGCTCCTGACTTCTCCTCAGGTATCAGGCAAGACAAACTTCGCCAGGCTTGGTACTAGGGTCCTTGAAGAGCTACGAGAGTCTAGAGGATTCTAGAGGCAAGCCTGGGGTGTCATTGCGCACCAAGTGGCAGAGTACATTCCGTTTGGGCCCTTGGAGCATTGACCCATGCAGCCTGCAGGAAGCAAACTTCTCAGCAAGATCAGGACACTGCACAGAGCATCTGATTGCATCATCCCAACCATACCAGATGTCAGCCTGAGAGACAAAAATCCAGCCAGCCTGAAGCTTCGACTGTCGCACAGCCGAATGCAAGGTCTTCCATGTCCCTGTGCATGCGCAAAGGTCTGCTCTCCAAGCGAGTTGGCCCTAAAGATCACGCTAACTAGCACCTCTCACAGTACCCATTAGCAGCGTTCTCCAATTTCAAGCTTGCCAGCCGCAAGGTGAAAGCAGAGGTCGGGGGGCGGCTCTACAAGCCCAGCAGTGAACCCGTGTAATCATTCTGTCATCGGTTTGTATGGGCTGTAGGGTATCAAAGGGATGAATTGGCTCCACAAGTTTGAACGTGATTTGCAGCGCGGGGACTTCAGGCCTGATAATAAGCCCAGCACCATTTGCGGTGCACTTTGGGCCTGCGCACAGGGAGTCTGTGGCATCAGTGCTGCTCCATGCAGTCCCACACAAGTCGGCAACCGGCAAAGCCAAGTTACCACCCCAAGTTGCCTTGACACATTGTGATGAAAGGCATGTCCGCTGAGGACCACCAGTAAACGCACCCCAACCTTGGGTGCCAGTGCTTGCTAACGTACTTAGCCTTTTGCAAGCGGCTTACGAGACATGCAAACGCTGTGCATAGCAAGATCACGAAGAATCGTGGCTTTGGCACCTGCCCAAGACATATTTGAGGATTAGGCCCCCGGCACCCGGTACAAGCTCCTTGTAACGCAGGAGTCGGGGTTCGGGTGGCAATCTCAGGACATGCCTGAAGCCAAATCCCTGCGGCGTGCACTATCAACCATGCGAGCCAACCATGGCTTCTCCATGCGAGAGCCTGTTCAAGGGCATGATTTGACAGGCACTTTGACCTTGACCGGCACTTTACCAGAAAATAGATTTACTGCATCCGATCTAGAGAAAGTTTCCAAGTAAGGAGGGCGCTCAGGCACGGTATATGTCGGGAACTACGAAAGCACAATCGCAGTTGAACGCAACGCACTGCATGTACGCATGAACATGGCTCGCGGGTACGCTTGGTATAAGCTCCCATCTTGGTAGCTCCTCGATTGAAATGTAGCGAATCGAGGTGATCTGCGGCAAAAAATTGAAACGTAACATGTAGAACGGCAGCTGCAACAAGACAACGGCGAGCAATGATTGACTAAACGACCAGTACGCCTAAAATCATCCCCAAAAATTACAAACTGTCTTCCTCTCCCAGCCGAAAGCCCGGTCTCTGCCAGGGTCGATGCTCGTTTACTTGCCCCTTGCCATCTTTACTCAAAGCCTCGGCAGGCGAGGCAAAACGGCTTGTTACTGCCAAAAGGCTAGAACATGCTAGAACACGGTTTGCAAGCTGCTTCAACTGGAATCCACTGAATTGGGGCTATCTCACACCTACATGCACCCTGGCCCAAGATCCATACCGGCCCTGTTCAACATCGACTCGAACAAGCTGCAGAACATGCAGTAACATCAGCGATTTGCATCTGCATGCATGGGTTCCACAAACTTATGCGGTTTACAGCTCCACATAGCTCCAGCATTTCCAACTTTTCGCGACTTGCAGTCTGACACTTCAACAAGTCAAAGGTTGTAACTCGGGGAGGTTACACTGGCATCACTTCCTTCAGATTCTCTCTCAATGCATGCATGACCAGAACACACAGTTCCCCCTGCGACACCATATTGCTGCTAGAAAAGACTTTCAGCTACGGTTGAGAAAGCTCTTACACCATGCCAGTAAGATGCTATGGAAGCCGAGAAGGGACTCCTCCTCTCAGAGCCAGGCTGAATGAAGCTCTGTCTCAACAGTGCCTCTGTTGTCAGGCGGAGCTTTCAAATTCATCCGTAAGACTCCCTCTCCGGCGCAGGACTTCCCCATTCTAGACCCAGGATAGTCCACGTCAGAAGTCTTGGTCTAGAAGCCAGTACCAGCTCATCAGGTTAGCAGGCTTCAAGGAGACAGGTCACTGAGGCCGCTGCGCGGTCCCAGCAAGAGAGCTTGGGAGGTGGTGGCATCCTCCAAATCCGAGGAGGAGCGGGTCATGTTAAGCTCATGTCCACGAACGCTTTCAGAAGATTGGCCGAACATGTCATGCGACAGCTTTTGGCTAGGCAGCTAGCATTTCACGATCGCACTAAGTGGTGTTGTGGTGGCTGCCTTCGCGAGGTCGACAGGCGTTGCATAGCATGACGGCGCCCTTGCAGCCTGCAATGGAGGCCAGAAAGTATCCTTCAACCTTCACTAAGCAAACAGCAGGAGTCGAATGCGAGGGCTCGCTGTAGCTCTATTCCTTTAGTCCCGAATGCGGGTTTATCGACGAAGGCTCGACATGGGTT